GACAAGGGCGCGCGGTCTTCATGGCGAGTGGTTGGCGGATTCTCGCACGGACCCTCACACGCCCTCGGATACTCCGTCCACGCACGGTGCTCATGGACACGCACGGCTTCTCTCGCACACGCGAACTCGGACGAAATAGCGGACGCGCACGCGCATGCTCCTATGGACCGAGACGCTCGCACGGCACTCGCGCCCACATGAACTTGAACTCGGGATAAAATCCGAACAATTGCTAATCTCGTGATTAAATTAAATTAATCACTTAATTACGTTTAATTATCTAATTAAACATAATGCTAAATTACCAAAATTATTTCGAACGTAAACGGTACGTCGAAAATAGTTCCGGTAATTTTTGACTGAAATAACTGAAAATAATTAACTCCGAAAAATAATATCGGAACTGAAATAGTATTAATACTGATAAAAGTTGGGGTGCTACAGTTGCAGTAGTACGGTGCTCACTACTTCCAGTCCATCCTGTAAAAAGCTGACAAGAATAGAAGAGGACGACTTCAAGGAGCTCAACGTGGAAGCTATCTGGGACGCTCTTTCTAAGGCACCTACTGGCTACCAGGGCGCTCTCGAATTGCCTCTCGACCATGACTGGTGATCGAGCCTCCTCGAGCCCATCGTAAATTATGACGAGATACTGAAGAAAAACTTTACACTGCCTGATAGGGTGACTCCCCCGACATCGATGAAGCGAACCATGTCCGAGTCTATCCACAGTGCCCTTTTTCTGATATGGCAGAGTCCACATCTGGCCCGAGTCAGCAAGTTGAGCAGCCGAATCCGACCCACAAGCAGACTCTTCCTGATCTTAATGCTAACACTGAGCAAGCCTCCTTGAATCCAAATATGCCTCCACCTTAATCGATTTGTAATTTTACTTTCGTGCTAAAATATTTGTACCTTCTCTATTTGAATGAATATTGTTTTTGTTGGATTTTATTGGATTCTCTTGTTATTTTTCTTCTCTCTTGAATGTTGTTATTTCATCCCGCATATTGTCTTCATCGTTTGTGAGCTTGTTCTATCATAACACATCAATCTCTCATTTATCGATGATTTGAGTCACACCTTTTATCGTGATTGGTTGTACACCATTAAACACATACCTTTCAGAGGTGGTCGAAATTTTACTCCCTTGAACACATGCCCACTGATAACACAAAACTCTCCTACCGGCTGAAATCCGAGTAATCACTTTCTTTCTTGTCAGTTGGACGTCGCGCACCTACAAAGAACTCTCACACCGGAGGGGTTTTCCAGTGAAGAGCCTCCGAAGCTTAAGTCAGTGTTTTCTCAATCAATTCTCAAGAGTAAAATAGAATGATCGTGTTCAACAAAAAAAGCTCACCCCATATATATAGGGGTGCGATACCTGCCCATGGAGCTGCCCGGATGTGTGAGCTATCTGCCCCAACTGCCAGTCCGTACACAAACAGTGTGTATGTGTCAGAGGTAGTCGTCGCCACTATCCTCTGCGCCAATATCACTTCGACACGTGTCCTCCTGCACATGGAGTAAAATATTCCCCTGTGGTTTGCTGAAGTCCCACTGACACCTCTAACAATCCGTTAGAGACTCTTATGGTTGACCTTATCCAGGTCAATCTCTCTTATCCTACCCCTGCATAGTGGGTTCAACCACCAGATCGTCTTCGACCCTTGTGTCGACCACATGGACCATTCTTCATTTGATCCCTTTCTTATTCGATCAGACTCTCTC